GGTAATGCTTGGGGAGAGATGCAGCTGTGAGCCATCCACACACAACTGTCCTGGCAGCTGGAGAATGAGGGCCTAGGTCCTGGAAGAGGCATTGTGTGGTGCGCCCCAGGACGTCTGTAGGAAAGCGTGGCAGAAGGGAGCTGGAATGTGTGCTGGGAGGATGTGGGCTCTTCTGAATTCCGGGGTATGAGAGGACTGGCAGGAAGAGACTGAAGAGAGGCTTTCCAGGGACAGAGACAGACTGAGACAGACAGACCCAATGACAAGGTCTTGAATGGCAGGACAAAGATGTAAGGCTTTGTCCCTCTTGCAAAGGTTTTGGGGAGGATTATCTTGGGGTCTTAAGGAGACTGCAGGCCCTAACAAGGGGTCCTCATTCCTAACATGTCCCTTCAGTTGCCTGCCCCGCAGACGTCCCCTAACTGGCCTGCTCTGGCCAACTCACACACACCACTGTCCCCCTCCCCCAAATCAGCTCCCTTCAAATTGTCACTCCCCACAGTGCAGCATTCATGCTTCAGTTCTAAATAGTCCCACTGTTCAGCTTTAACAAGAAGTAATACCAATTCCCATGTTTGCTCAGAGAGCACCATATTTCATCAAACCAGAGCCCACGCCGGCTCAGATTACTGCCTGAGACAATGTTCTGTAATCCTGGTTTATTCACATGTCACGGGTATTTTAGCAAAACAGAAATGAATGGCCTGAGCCACCCTAGGAAGTAACGGGAGAGTTGGGTTCCCGCCCAGGGGAAGTCATACTTTCTCTTGCCACAGTTCTCCAAGGAGCTCACTTTGATTCTCAAAGTTTTTCCAAAGTTTAAGAAAGAGAATATGGACTGAGGAGGAGGCACAAAGTGGGTAGTTATTTCCCTATAAAACGGTAACTCCACGGATGGATATTGCCGGAAAAAAAAGAAAATCTGTCATTGATTATAAAGCCCTTTGTGCTTGTTATTTCACAGATTTATTGCACTTGGGTCCAGAGGCCTGGGGAGGCCCTGGGATTCTTGTCTCTAGCACCCCAGCAAGCTCTCCAGCCACTCTTTCAAAACTCATGCCCCAAATGGGAACGGGGACTCTCCAGCATTTCTTTTGTCCTTAGGGCCACGAGTTTTGGGAAAACTACATGAAAAGCTCTATGAATCATCTTTGTAATTGACAAGGACCCACAGATACTGTAATAAATGCTCATTGGTAGAGGTCTATGACTTCCTAATTGAGGAAACATTCTCTCCTTTTCCTTTCTTTTCCAGCTCTTGGCACCGTGTGTTCAGAAATAGATTTCATCTGCAGAGCAATGAATGGTCCGGCTGAACCTATCATCAAATCTCCTGAAACATGGCCCTAGCTGGTGTGGCTCAGTAGATCGAGTGCCAGCCTGCAAAGCAAAGGTTCACCGGTTCAATTCCCAGTCAGGGAACATGCCTAGGTTGCGGGCTGGATCCCCAGTTGGGGGCATAAGAGAGGCAACTACACATTGATGTTTCTCTCCCTCTCTTTCTCACTCCCATTCTCTATAAAAATAGATTAAAATCTTTTTTAAAAACTTCCTAGGATTTGGGTTCACTTTAGATAGGCTAAAACCTCATTTGAACATTAGAGAAATAAAAAAAGAGCAGGAACAAGTATCAGTGCTATTTGGTACCATCTCATGTTAAAACCTTATCAATGATCCTCATAATATGGTGTGCATGTCCCCATTTTAGGGTTGAAGAAACTAAGGTCCAGAGAACTCAGGTAACTTGCCTGAGGCCACACAGCTAGGTATGTGGGTGAAAAGAGGGACATGAACATAGTCTTAATTGACTGCAAAGGTTCATGTATACCCTCTCACTTCAAGAACTGGTTGACATGAGACCACAGACCCAGGAATAGAGTGTGGGAGCTGAAACAAAGTCTGGGGGACAGCCTTTTCACTTAAACAGGAGGCTACTGGGTCTCCAAAGAGATGATGGGGCTGATCCAGGGTTACAGAACTAATCAGAGCCACAAATTGACCCTCCCACAAATTAGCTGGCCAATAGCATAAAAAAACTGTTCAGGAACATTTCAGGTGGCATTATTGGGGGACAGGTTCCAGGTGAAATCAAATGAGAGTTCTCAGAGTTTGTGTTCTCCTTTACTCAGGCAGAGAGCTTTGTACCTATTGGGTCTCTGCACTCCTTCCTCAGGGTTTTGTAAGGTTAAGGAAACCCTGCTACCCCAGAGTGTGCAGCACAGAAGCCTGGAAAACCGAGGGCCCCCCAACACTTCTCACCTTCCTGGAGAGAGCACACTCCACCACAATTGGCAAGTTTAAGACCTCAAGACCCCTGGTAAGACTAGTGTCTGATACACTCAGGACTAAGATAATTTTAGTAGGAAGCTGTCAGAAATCATAGCTCTCAGGACTTGAATCCAGTCTCCCATCTTGATTTTTATTTAGAGCTGCAGCCTGAGCTATTAAAAACAAAGCATTCTCATTGGCAAATTCCACAATTAGCCTCATTTCCACGAGCTGTTCTGCATGAGCTGAAATTGCACAGTGATTGTCTCTGTCTTAGCAATGCTGTTTTCAGGCTGTGCTGGGAGCCAGCAAGGATATGACCCAGTGGTAATCTGAATTGCTTCACCAAACACATTTTTATCCCATCATCTCGGCTACATGAAAGGGGGCCATAGTGCTCCAAATGTTCAAGGCTTTACAGTCCTGCTGTTCAGCAGTAAAACAAGGCAAGAAATATTAGCCGTCCCTGGCTGATGCCTTAATTCTTTCCCAACAATGTCAGAGAATCTGTACCCTACAGATTTTAGTACTGGCTAAAGCCTGACCCTCTCTCTGGCTGGCTTGAATGGAGTGGGAATGAGTTAGAGAGCAAGAAGGCTTTAATGGACACAGATCGAGAATAGCCCAGCTTGTCCCGGCCTCCTGCAGACTCACTCTCCTTTTCACAGACCTCGATTGTGTATGGCCCCAGCAGAGACAAAACTAACCATGAGCAGAGGTTACCCCCAGCTGGTACAGGTCAGAGGCATTCTGGGGGAGAAGAGGAGGGGGGACAGAGGGGAAGTGAGGGGCACATGGAAGAGGGAAGTGGGGTTGGGGTTGGGGATGGGGGAGGGAGCAGTAAAAGATGGTGTGGGTCATTTATAAGGAGAGATCCATCAAGTCCAAGACTGGGACTTGATCATCTCACCTCCAACAAACTCTTTTTGAAAACTGTTTCACAGAACAAATGGGAACTATAGGAATGGGAAGTTGAATGGGATGTGTGCTAATTATAAAAAAAAATAATATGGTTCTCTATAGTTTTCCAACATCTACAGGCCTAAGGTTCAGAGGCCTCTAATAGGATGGCCTCTAATTTGACACTGCAAGATTTTTAAAAATGATAAATGGGTTGTGTGGTACAAACCAACAGAAGCTTTCTCCAGCAATTTTTCAATTATTGCATTGTGAGCCCTCCAAGAAAAGTAACTATTTTGGCTCAAAAAGCCCAAAGTTACCAAGTAAAGGGAACAGCATGTTCACAAGTTTGCAAATAGTCCTGTAAAGTGTAGCATAGGCAGGATCCTGGATCTACTGGAAGAACATGGCTTTAAAGGAGTCCTTTCCTTCTCTCAGCAGAATTCATAAACTTTTTGTATGGGCATTAGACTCCTTTCTTAATCTGGGGAAGGAATGGACTTCCTAAAAAATGTTTTTAATATGCTAGGTTATCAAAATATTTTTAAAAACAACTTTGCAACATATGTACCTTTTAAAATAATTCATTAAATAACTAGCAGAGGGTTTAACAACTACTTTATTTTAAGAAAAGCGACAAGCCAAAAACATATTTTGAGAAATGTGAAACAACTCCCATATGATATGAAAATATCTGTGGGTGGTGGTTGTTGGTGACAAAGCCACAGGTATGTTAATACCACTGTTAGACTGCCTGCCTTTCCATTAGGAAATGCTAAGTTTCAGTTACAGGTTAGTGAAAATAAAGATGTAATTTTTTTACCCACTCAAATTCCCAGACCCCCTGAAATTCTATCTGTAGACAAGAAACCCTGCTAAAGGCAAAATGAAGTTCAGGGCCTTCTGCCCAGCGCTGGGCTGAGCGGCCATGGGCCCAGGGATTCATGACACCTTCACTTCATCTCCAAAGCCTTCTAGGGAAAGCCACTGCTTTCTTGTCTGTCTCCTAACCTGATGCTTTAGAAACGTTTTCTAAAGCCATCTGAAACCATGCCCTATTTCAGGACAACCCTGATGACTACATGTCCAAAGATTAGCAAGGCTCTTCGATGTGTTCCTTCAACAATTGGAATCATTGTCCCCAAATCCCGGGTCAGTTAAACGTCAGTTAAAGATTCTGAACTTTAATCAGGATCTTCTTCCAGTTGCCCTGGTTGACTGACCTCTGGGAATAGGGTTTTTTTTCTTCTCAAAGGTTGACCAGGGAGGGTAGGGTCCGCGTTCCCCTCACCCTTGCGTTTTGGACACACACTGGCTCAGACTCACACACACCCCCTCCCCACCCCCCCCTCACGGGGTCCTCACAGGGTCCTCACGGGAGAGCTGTCATCTTGCAATTACATAGTCATCGCATGCCATTGCAGGGGCAACCCGGCAGGCGGGCCCCCCTCCAAAGGCTCACCTCCCCTTCCTGGCCCCCGCTTAGCTCCTGTCAAGCTGCGGCGCCGACACACAGGAGCCGCAGGGGTTGTGGTTCTCCGGTTCCAAGCAGGGGCGCGGGGAGCGCGCTCGCCCACGCCCACGCCCACGCCCCCTCAATTCCGGCTCCACATTCTAGCGTATACCCCTGCGCGCGCTCATCGCCACACACTGGCGCACGCACCCGCAGCGGCCAGGCACTGACTCGTCCCCTGCTGTCCAGTGGTCTGGGACGCGCAACTGGGTTTCCCCCGAAGGCACTGCTGGCCGCCCCGCCCCGCTCCGCCTCTCGAACCCGCCGAGCCCGCCACTCTCTGTGCTGCAAAGTTCCGCGGGGCTAGTCCGTGGAGGCAGCGCTTCGGATCGCACTCAGCTCCGCTCCGCGCCTCTCCGGACTGCCGTGACCACTGGCCTGGAGATCGAGCGGCGAGGACGGACCAAGCTCTAGGTTGGCCGCCCCGCTCTACCTCGAACCCTCCCCCCTCCTCCCGTCCCCTGGCTGCCCTGGCTGCCCGTGTACCCTCCATCCGCAGGGTCGGTCCGCAGCCTCCGGTGCGCCTGCGCTCTCTCTCCTTACCGGCTCCGGAGCTTCCCCGCCGCCACCCATCATGGCCCGTGACCCTGCTCAGACCAGCACAGGGCCGGGGTCCCAACTGCTGCCGCTGCTGCCATTGCTTCTGCTGCTGCTCAGGGACGGGAGCGGCAGCCACACGGCTCCCGCCCGGTACGCCCGGCACATGGCCACCGATGGCCTGGCCAGGGACAAGGACCCCCGGCGGTTCCTGGGGGACACGGCTGCCGCTCTGGGTCCTGGCGCCGAGGATATGGTCGCTGTCCACATGCTTCGGCTTTATGAGAAATACAGCCGAAGGGGCGCACGTCCCGGAGGGGGCAACACGGTCCGCAGCTTTAGGCCCCGGTTGGGTAAGTAGAGTGGAGCCCCAGGCCCCTTCTTTTCCTTCTCACCTTTCCTCATTTTTTCATCCGTCTACCCCTGCATCTCAGCTTTTCCTCTTCCTTTTATTCATTGTCTCATTCATTCATTCTTTCATTAACTGTTCACCAAGTGCTTTATGCCAGTCCCTGAACCTCCAGTGGGGACACTTTAGTAGCACAAAGTGACACGGAGTTTCTGTCCCTGGGGTGCTGGCAAACCTGAAAGGGTGTCATACTTGCTGGACACAGACCACCCCATCCATACACAAGGCTTTAAGCACAGGATGGAGATGAGAATGGGCTGGGGAAGTTCATGGGTGAGGGGAACCATTTGTGTATGGTTCAATACAACTGAACCATAGGGGTAAGTTGTATTGGCTTTTGGCAGATAAGGAGGGCATGTCAGGTGAACATAAGGCAGCTGTGCTAGAAGTTCCAGGAACTGGCCTCAGACAGAGGATGTGACCCTCTAGCTGGGGACAGGTAGTGGATTTGGTGGCTGAGGACACAGAGTGGACTGAGAAGGTCCTATGGTGCCTAGCTTTGGGTGCACAGGATTGAGGCCCGCTGGGCATTGGCATGAAGTGTTCAGACTATGGGGGTTTGAGGAAGGGTCCAGAAGCTTGGGCAGGGGCACCCCACCCACCTGAGCAGATCCTTTCCCCTCTCTCCACACCTTATTGGATATGGACAGAGGCCACTTGCCCAGCTCTCCCTGTCCTGCTCAGAGAATACCACCTGCTGTCTGTCCACCTGGACTGGGCTGACTCTAGTCCCCGTGGTGCAGCCCGGTGGGAGATGTGGTGGTAAGACCCTGGTTGTCATGGCGACTACTCATGGTCACAGAGTGCCATTCTAGAAAATGTGGGTAGGGGTCCTCTGCAGCCTTCATGGGGAAGGAGGCTATTTATCAGGAGAAAGACTATCAGAAACAAGCTCAGCATTGGGGCCAGACATCCTTATCATTGGCTGTGTGACTCAAGGTAACATCTGTGGCCTCAGAGCCAGGCATGGGAAGCTTAGTCTCACATAATCATGTACTGGGAGCACCTGCCATGAGAGGCCCTGTTCCCCCATTCTGCCCTGAGCAGATTTAGGTGGGCTCCAGTCAGCTGGCTCTAACTTCATATTCCCTGGTACCTTTTATTCACCACCTGTGGTCCATTTTTGAAGCATCATTATTAAACGAAGACACTCAGGATTCATCTAGTATGGATGTGACCTTGGGCAGATTGTTAAAGTTCTGTGGACTTGAGTGTACTCTATGAAATGGAAAGTTCATGCCAGTATTTTCCCTGTGGAAGGAAGGTCGCAGGGAAGATGAAATGAGGTAATGTGTATAACCCCAAGTTCAGGCCCAGCCAGATTAAGCAGTGGTGCCTGTTGTTCCCTTGGGAGTACAAAGCAGTGTTTGTAAATGTGTAGATTTGACCTAGCACACATTAAGTCAGTCCTCAAAGCCTTGCATCTGAGGAAAGCAAGGCTGGCAAGATCATTGCTGCGACAAGCAGTGAGCATCCCCAGTGAGCTCACCCACTTGCTGCAGCCCTGGGATGGAGATGCACAGTTTATCTTTCTGTTTTCACAGAATGGGGGTAGTATAAGTAACAGTAAAGCATAGGATGTTAGCCCTGAGAAAGACCTTGAGACATTCCTTCAGATATAGCTCTTCTATTTTACAAAGAAGGAAGCTGAGGCAGGGGACAGGGCTGTTCACAGTAGCAATGCTTGACACCTCCCGTCTGCTAAGCCAGTGCTCTTTTAACTGTTTTCTCCCTCCCCCAGCTCCATCAGAACTACCAGCTTGTGGAAAACTGAGGGTGGAACAGACAATTTGCGAGATTATTCTGAACCAGTCTGGGACTGTCTGACTAATCTCACATTCTTGTTTGGAACCAGTGGACAGCCAACTACTGGCTGTGTGCTAAGGTGCACATCACTCTACCCCTCTGAGCGTAGTTTTCTTGTGTGTACAGTGGGGTGTGAAAAATCAGTGGGATAAGATGGCATAGAGCAGGACCTAGCAACTTAGTTCCTCATCCCCTCCCTTGATTCACTTAAGTTGTTTCTCACCCAGCCCCTCACCAGCCTTCATAGGTGCCTAATTCCTGGCCCAGCTGTGAGGAGGTATGAGCTTGTGCAGGAACTTCTCATCTTATGAATGAGACAAAACAGTGGGGGGCTTCATCTCTGGAACTGTAACAAGTCTTATCTGTGATGGTGGCAGAGGCCACCTCAGTGGGGTGGTTCCTCCTCTTAACAACAGAAGCATCAGTCCCTGCCACCCTTTTTGTAGCAAAACTGTATTTCTTGCTGCAGAGCTCAGGTTCCCAGCAAAGGCTGTGAGCTGGTCGGCGGGGTCCAAATCCTGAGACTCATCTGAACAAGGAACTGAACTTGCCCATAACTCAGCTTTTTTCACTCCTAAAATTGTGCTAATAATTCTCCCTTTCTTATAAGGTTTTAAAAATTATTTGAAATATATTAAATGTTTAAAACAATGCCTGACACATGTGTCAGTAATTTATTATCTCCTATTATTATTACTCCAGGCATTCCTCTCTCCCCTCCATTGCTCCCTGAAGTATGATTTGTTCCCTGTTAAGTCTCCATCAGTGCAGAGGACCTCTGAACCTGATCCTAAGGATTAAGATTAGACACCCCCACTCCAAATAACCTATATTTAAATTTAAGCTTTCCCACCTACTTGTGTAATATTGGACAAGTTACTTAAGCTCTCTTAGCTTGGTTTCTTAATCTCTAAAAGATGTATAGTAATACATACATGTTAACAATGCCAAAAGCCACATTCATTTCAGTTCCCCATGTCTTTCCTAAGCACCTCAGTAGGTGGCAGGTGCTGTAAGTTCAGATGATGCAAAGATGCATAGACTGCTGGCCCTGCCCAGAAAGCTCAGGAGTTGAAGCAGAAGGTAGGAGTAAGCAGAAGACTACGGGCTGCAGGATAGGTGGTCTGATGGAGTGGCAAAGGGCTGGGGGTATTCTTCAGGAGCCCTAAGGGACATCAGGGAAGGGGTCCTGGATAGGGAACAGTGAAGCCTTCACAGAGCAGGTGAGGCCCCAGATTCCAAAAGGGAAGATGGTGTTTAGGCAGTTACAGAAGTGAAGCAGTCCACTGTGTGCCTGGGACTGTGAGGACTTTGGTTTCAGTTAGGAAATAAGGTGAGGAGAGAGGCAGGGGAAGTAGGTGGACCAGTGGGCCAAATCAGGTCATCAAAGTCTTGAGTTTCCTATGGGCAGTGAGGGAGTATACAGTGTATATACAGTTTGAGAGGGAGGGAGAAAGGGAAAGAGAGAGAGCAAGAGAGAGGGGGAGAGAAAGGGAGAGAGGGAGAGAAAGGGAAGGCAGGAGAAGGAGAGAGGTGGGGAAGGAGGAAGGAAGGAGAGACTTAAGGGACAGAGAAAGGAAAGAGAAAAGAGAGATTATAAAAGAGTTTCTTACTTACTGGAGAAAATCTAGAAATCATAGAAAATCACAGTTGAATAGTCATCCCTAATCACATACCCAGATAGAACAAATTAATTATATATCATATATGTATATATGTGTGTATATATCATTTTATACATATATGTGTATATGTGTGTATATGATTATATATATACATATATGTATATATGTAATACTGTTTTTCAGAATCGTATTTTCAACATGCAGGTAAAATTTGTTATATGTGTATTTGAAGTTACCTTTCTTTTTTCATTACTGGTCACTCTAGATTTTATGCTTATTTGCTATTTGCATTTTTCTTTTTTTGTGGAAATTGCTTCTTGTTATTGGGATTCTTGGTTTTTTTCTTACTGATTTGTAGAGGTTCTTTATGTACTAAGGACATTAACATTTCACCTGTTATGGATGATTTCCTTGAGAAGCATGAGTGTGATCTGAAGGCTGACGGTGCTCTGGGGTCACGGTGGCAGTTGAGGACATGCCCTGGATGAAGTAGTGGTGGAGGGATGCAGAGTTAAGGATAGTTGTGGACAAACAGGATGCAAAGCCAAGAGGAACTGGGTTGTTTAGATGCAGGAGGAAGAGGCCCTGTGAATCCTCAGGCTCCTGTTAGGCAGCGAGGGGGACAGGTGGTGATGCCTTTCATTGGGCATGAGGCAGGGAACAGGTGCATGGTACCCTGAGTGCGGTGGTAGCTCGTGATGCCACATGGCCAGTATGTTCTGAGCATGTGTTAGGTGCTAGGCACCCTGCCTCAAGCTCCAGAGATGATCTTACAACTTTAGGTGGTACGTACAATTATTCTGCCTACAGGTGAGGAAACTGAGGCACAGAGATGTTCCATAAGACTTTCATAAGGCCCAGAGCTAGTAAGTGATGAAAGCAGGATTTAAACCCTGACTCTTGGACCTGCCTGAAAAAAAGACCCTCAGTTCATATTCTTGTCTCTTCTCTGCAGCACCACTGACGAGCTCAGTGCTTCCTTCCTCCAGCTAATGCTGGTGCGTGTGTCTTCAGCAGGGGTTCTCACTCTGGTCATCCTGATGGCTGCTTGAAGGGCAATGGATGACAGAACAAATCTCCAGGAGGCTTGAGTTCTGTTTCTGTAATGTAGAGCCATTTGCTAACTAAAGTAGGCAGAGCTAGCAAAGACCCTACTCTTCTCCCATCATTCATTATATGTTTCTGAGATATGGGCCTTGTGTTGTGATTTAGGGATACAGCAGTGTTAAAATCTGGAAAAACCCCTACTCTCTTGGAGTTTGTGTTCTAGGGGAAAGAGAAACACTAACAAAGAAATATGTATCAGGATATTTGGAAATGACATGAAGACAAATGAAGCAGGGTACCATGGAGTTGCCTCATGTTGGAGTGGGAGAGCTGTATTGTTGATGAACTTTCACCCCACCCACAGATCAATCCAGATGCAACAGATACACAGCCACTACCCACCAGAGCTTCCCAACCTTTTCTGATGGCTAGAATCCCCTGGGATGCTGGTTAAAATACAAATTCCTGGGCCCCATTGTTCCAGATTTTCTGAACTATGTCCAGGAGAGGAAGGCAGTGATCAGAGAAGTTTGAGATATGCAGGACTCCACACCTTGACACTCAATGCTGCAGTGTTCGGGGAAGCCAAGTTTAAATGTGCAGTAAGACTGTACACTGCCCCTTATATGTGGAGCAGCCCACAACTTGCTGGGGGTGTGGGGGCTGCCTCAACTCTCTGAGTTTGTTCTGACAGTTACATAAAACAGGGTCTTTAGAGTGTCTTGACTAGCTTAGGGTCTCTGTAGATGTGGTTTTTTTCTTCCTGTTTCTCTCATAGTTTCTTAAGAATACTAAAAAATTCCCAATTGAATTATGCCTCCTTCCCAACATAAACAATCAACCTTAATCTGAAGATTTTAGTAAGAAAAAAAAAATCCATCTGACACCGTGGGAGCATATGTCAGAGAGTCTGTGGCCCTGGCACACACCCATTGTAGAGCTCAGCATCCCTGCACACACACTTATTCTCACAGTGTGGAACTCGGTTCCTCTCCCAGCTCTTCCCAGCCGACTGACCCTGGCAGTAGGAGGGAGGCAGCCTTCCTGGCTACTCTGGTCTCCTGTGAGTCTGCAGCATTCCAGGGAGGCCTCGGAATGACCCCTTCCTCCCCTTCAAACTCCGGAGAGTACTTAGCCATCTGGAGAATTCATGCTGCAAGGCCAGGCAGCTTCCTGGGGCTGCAGACCAGGAGTCTTGGCCTTGGGACCTAGGGGTACACTTGGTAAAACCAGAAAAGCAGGAGAGAGGGGTGGCTGACAGCCCAGGGTGCAAGGGCCAGAGTGTTCTCCAGCTTCAAATGTGCCGTGTGAGGGATCCCAGTCCCAATCACAGTTTGGGCCTCTGGTGCAACCTGGACATTGGAAATACTATTGAGTGGCCTTGTGCAACCCTGATTTCCTTTGTAAAATTGGTTTTTGTAAAACAAGCTTTATAAACCTCAGACTGAACAAATAGTAGACACCCAAATGACTGTGCTTTTTAGGCCATTTTCCTTCAGAAGGCACTTATGATGCAGGGAAAGTATGAGGCTGTCTACTTATTTCACTCCATTTGGAAGAACAGCTGCGTTTAATATCTGTAAAATAGAGGGCTGTGAATATACAGGATGGGCTGCTGTCAACAGTGCTCGGACCCAACCTAAACCATCCTGAACACCTGATCCCCTTATCCCCTTACCTCATTAATGAAGGTGTTCATTTGTTCATTAAGAGGCATTGGAGTGTGTGTGTTAGGGGGAGGGGAGAGACCTGACAGAAGTTTTAGGGTCCAGCAGGCCTGAGCACCTACCTTGTCTATAGCTACATTTCCTTTTTTGCAATGAGATATTGTCAGTCCCCTACCTCTGCCCTTAATTTCTCATCCATTCATTGAGGATAACAAAGGGTACCCCCTCAGTTTAATTTGAGAATTATATGAGGACAGCTGGGCTGGCCTGAAAATGCTTCCTAAATGGGTGTTCCTCTTCCATCCCAGCCCTAGTATCACCTAGAAGACCCTATGTGCATGGGGACCTGTACAGGAGAGAACCTAATAGACTGCTTTGTCCTTCTCTCGCAGAAGTGGTCAACCAGAAGACCCTGTATTTCTTCAACTTGACTTCCATGCAGGACTCGGAAATGATCCTCACGGCTACATTCCACTTCTATTCAGAGCCCCGGTGGCCCCAGGCTCATGAGGTGCCATGCAAGCAGAGGGCCAAGAATGCGTCCTGCCGCCTGCTGTCCCTAGGTCTGCCCACACGCCAGCACCTGCTCTTCCGCAGCCTCTCACAGAACACGGCCACACAGGGGCTGTTCCGGGGGGCCATGGCCCTGGTACCCCCACCACGGGCCCTGTGGCAGACCAAGGACATCTCCCCTATAGTCAAGGCTGCCCGCCAGGATGGTGAATTGCTTCTCTCTGCTCAGCTGGATTCTGGGGAGAAGGACCCTGGGGTGCCTAGGCCCAGCCCCCATGTACCCTACATTCTCATCTATGCCAATGACCTGGCCATCTCAGAGCCCAATAGTGTAGCAGTGACTCTGCAGAGATATGACCCCTTTCAGGCTGGAGACCGGGAACCTGGTGCAGCCCCCAATAGCTCTACAGATCCCCGAGTCCGGCGGGCCACGCAGGCAACCGGGCCTCTCCAGGACAATGAACTGCCAGGTCTGGATGAGATGCCAGCACAAACCCCCCGTGCCCAGCACTACCACAAGCACGAACTGTGGCCCAGCCCCTTCCGGACACTGAAGCCCCGGCCAGGGCGCAAAGACCGCAGAAAAAAGGGCCAGGATGTGTTCGTGGCTTCAACCCAGGTGCTGCACTTTGATGAAAAGACAATGCAGAAAGCCCGAAGGAAGCAGTGGGATGAGCCACGGGTCTGCTCCCGGAGGTACCTGAAGGTGGACTTTGCAGACATTGGGTGGAATGAATGGATCATCTCACCCAAATCCTTCGATGCCTACTACTGTGCAGGAGCGTGTGAGTTTCCTATGCCCAAGGTAGGGTGTTTTCCATTGTGCCCATTGTCTAATTGTGACTATCATACTACCCCTGCTAGCAAGTCTCTGCCTTATGTGTGACCTCTGTTGACTGTCTCTAAAATAGGGATAATTACTCCTCCCATCTACTGGAGGCCTTGGAGGCCGGGGCTAGGTAGGTAGACAGAGGTCCCAATGTGGTTTCAGCTCACAGATGGATATGGTTGGGCTGTGCTTTCAAAAATGATGACTTGGTTGAGTATAAACCTTAAATCGAAACATTTCTTCTTTTGGAAAGGGGAGAATGCGTCTCCTTAGGTGTGTGTTCCCACAAAACAAGAATCTACAGAGGCTGAGTAGATGCTGCCCCCTATAGACTGGACAGGCCTGTAAAGCACCCTCCTCAACAAGGCTCTTGTTTTTGTTCCTGGACTGGACCTCAAAGCATTGATGTCTCTGACCAGCAGAGCTGGTTTCAGTGGCTTCTCAGGGAGGACTCCCTCTGCCTTCCTCTCACCCAGGGCAGGCACTGCAGGACAACTAACTCCCATTGTGAACCAATCTGCAGAATGCACAGCAGTGGGCGGTTTTTACCTATTGTGCTGGAAATGTTTTCAGGTTCTTGCCTTCCCTCTTGCTCATGGTTCTGTCTTTCTGTCTCCCGCTGCTGGAGCTGTGGTGAGCCAGTAGCCAGCTGATGTTGATTCGGCACTGGGCACCCTCTCCTTCAACTTAGCTCCTCTGTTTTATTCCGGGTCATGCCGTCCCCCTCCAAGAAAGGAAGTCAGTGCATAAATTCAGTTTGAAACTGAATAAACCAGCCAGCTGGAAAATCCCAGACCCAGAAGTAGGGCAACATCACCTGTTTGGGAATGAAGGGGCTTCTCCTCAAAGCTGTGAATGTGCAAGTGAGAGGAAGGGAGGTACTCTGCAGACAGGCATCTGCTGGCGGGGTCTTGCAGATTCAGGAGGAACACTCAGCAAGCTTCAGCTGGCTGACCCGGCACTTACCTTGTCAGCCTGGCTGGCTGCCTTCCCACCTTCCCTGACACCAGCCTGACACCAGCAAATCAGATGTCCCTGCCCCGCTCTCCTCCTGCTTCCCACGCAGAAGACCTTTCTCTTCAACACACAAAATACAAAATTCTTTGGTTGGCAGTGAGCTAAAGCACATGTGGCTTGGTCCTGTTCATCTTGTCAGAGGTGCTTAAGGAAGAGCATTCTCTGTGTTTGCTGCTGTGACCCAGAACCTTCTGGGTGGGAGAGGCTGTCTGGGGAGGGGAAGAGAGCCAGTATGGCCCCAGCAAGCATGTTTTCCAAACCTGGATATGCTATCTTGGGGTCGTGATCAAGTTTCCTATTCATTTTAAGCCTCAGTTTCTTCACCAGTAAAATTCAGGTAATTTCTACTCCATGAAATTGATGTGATGTCAAAATGGGGTGACATGGGTGAAGCAGCACCTGACACCTCAGTCAGACCTTCCCAGGAGATGTCATTTTCCAGCCCCATCGCACTGATGCACATATATGCAGGCCTTCCCCTTCACGCTAGGAACACAATCACATGGAAGCATGTCTGTATTCCTCACACTCAGAAACCGCAGGCCAAACTGGCTAGGCATTTCCTTAGGCCTTCCCTCTTTAACTGCTTCTGCCCTGTTCCAGGTGCTTCTCTGGGATGTGTGATGAACAGGTGCCCCCAAGTGGCCAGTGTTATGTAGGCAATATGACTTCCCTCGGAGAGGCTGGAGGGGCAAGAAGGCCCAAGGCTCTTGCAGACCTCCCAGGGACTTAGTCTGTGACTGACTGACCAGAGGAAAGGGGCACCAGCCCTGGAATACCACCCTTTCTTCTTGGTCCATGCCTTTTCCAAGGGCTGAGTTGAGGACATGCAGATAGCACAATGGGTGGGTAGGGCAGAGTACGGAAGTAATCTTGCTCCTTTCCCACCCGCAGATCGTGCGCCCATCCAATCACGCCACCATCCAGAGCATTGTCAGGGCCGTGGGCATCGTCCCAGGCATCCCAGAGCCCTGCTGTGTTCCCGACAAGATGAACTCTCTTGGGGTCCTCTTCCTGGATGAGAATCGGAATGTGGTTTTGAAGGTGTACCCCAACATGTCTGTGGAGACTTGTGCTTGCCGGTAAGACCAGTGCTCCAGGGTGGAAGGAAATCACCGCATGCCCTGCACGGTAGTGTCCCTGGAGCCCTGGAGTGAGCTTGACTAGGGGTGCAGCTGCAAAGGCAGGACAGAGCTCACAGGCAACCTTGCTGCATCACAGAAGGATCTGTCCCCTAGGACATCATTCTGGGGTTTTTATTGCTGGTGACTGAGCCCTTAAAATTCCAGCCTGAACCCCCTGAAGGAAACTGAGAATCAGCCCTGGCTTGAAGGCTGCCCATCCCCTCTGCCCTGTAGGCCTGCAAACTGAATGTGTCCACACCGTTGGCTTTTGTGGTCATCATCTGATAACCTTCAAAGAAGACTACACACCCGAGGACACTTGCTTCTTTCACGTGGAAATAACCTCATTTAAACAATCACTTTAAGACACTTTGGGCCACACAATACTGGGAAACAGGGCCTAAATAATGGTAAAAATGGATTTTTTTTTCAAACTCCACTGCAAAAGCTTTTATACATACAGTGTGCACATATAACCAATTTTGGCTTCTTTTCTTAATGTATATTTTATTTTAAAACAAAAGCAGGGGAGTTGTAATTGTTCCCCAAAGAAGTAATCATGCTGGTTAAGAGTGCATTGTTTAAACACGCTTATTGAAATAACACATGCAGTACTATCTTGCAATACTAAAAAATAATCAAGATTTTTTTATATTTTTATAAATTATACTTTCTATACTGTAGATTGTATATGTTATGTGTTTTTATGGAAAGCTAATAAATTAAAGGTACAGTTGTATCTTGAAAACTGAATGTTACTCATTCCAAAATACTGATGGATCCCATCTATAAGCATGCCATCTGGGTGGCTTCTGGGGACACAGCCTCCTTTAGGATCACCTGAGGCCCCCCCTAGGCCATCTCCACATCCTTATCTCTGCTTCAAACTCTGGAAACCAGCTGCTACTATGCCCTTCAGAGTCCTGCCCGCCCACTCTTGTCCAGGCAGAACAGGCCTCACAGAGCTTCCTCACATCCTTAGCCTCGGAGGGGACAGTGAACGATTGGGAAGGGTCTGATAGATCAAAGGGAACGTCAGTGGCTGCCTGGTCACACATCTTTTACTTGGAGTAGTTCAACCAGGAGATTCAATGTAAGTGGTTCGGGTCTTTCCTGCATGCAAGAGCTCCAGAGGGACTGGAGTGTCTGCTCCTCTCTGTGCATGTTTGTAGAAAGGTTACTCTGTTTGTTCTTCAGCAACCCATCCCAAACTAGCCTCCCCCAAATATCTCCCTTGTCTCTAAGTTGCCTTCAGCTTACAGCTGTAGTGGCTGAAGCTGATTGACCAGTATTTTGAAAGGAGAATCTGGGTGTCTAGAAGTGATTTGGCTGGGACCTGAGAGGAGGATAAAGCCCCCAGCCCTACTTGAAGGATATTGAGAAGCCAGGAGCTCCAGGAGGACACTTAGAAAAAGAAAAGCAGCCCAAGATGCCTGTCTTAGGTTGGGCTCCTGAGACCAGGGTTCCTACACAAGGGATGTCTAAGGAAGTACTTCCAGGAGAAACAGGTATGGACTGGAGAGCAAGAGGCCAAGCATCTCAGCCTCACCTGGATTCCCAGTGGGGAGCTCTGGAGCTTAATTATACCTCAAGGTTAATCTGACCTTGATGAGGGAGCTAGATGTTCAGACCCTCCCCAGGCTGCCTCAGCGGGGTGGAGCAGAGAGGAACAAAATCCTGGGTCTTTGACCGTCTACACAGTTAGTCAGAGTAGCTCCAGGAGAACCAAGCAGCCTTTGAAAAAGGTTGCATGGCAGCTACTGGATGCAAAGTACCCGGCAAGAGAGAGTACCCAGAACAGGTAGGTAGTGGATTCTGAGGTGCTCCAAATGGTCCTGGAACATGTGTGTGAACTGCTGCCCTGGGCACGTGGTCCTGCCTCTTGGCAGAGATCAGGTGAAATGAAGGGAGTGGTTCTTATTCCTGAAGGAATTGTACTGGGACTAAATCATTAATTTCAAGTTGCTGTGAATTCCTGGGATGTCTCATATGGGTCTGCTAACTTAGCTCTTGGTTTATCATGTCTAATCCTTTTTGGAAGATGACAGGATATAAGTTAACAGAAAAAATAAGTACAAGACATTGGGCCTTGTTAAGGCTCCAAACACCTTTCTTCTCAAAATCATATTCCTTATTTTTTCTTCTTCCCTTCAATTTTCTCTCATCAAACTGCTCCCTTTCCATTACTTGATGAAAATTGGGTGTCCTGTAATAGTCCTATCTTATTCCTTCTGTCATTTGCAGTTTCTGGGAGATCTTATGAGTCATCCTAAAAGCCTAGAACTCCTGTTTCATTTCTGGATTATGGGGGTGGAGGGAGCAGGCTAGGAGGGCCACCCCCGGATACAGCCATGTGCAGGGGGATGGATGGTATTCAGTGGTGATTACTATGGAGTTTGGTGGAAGGAGTTAGTGTCTTCAGTGACCCCTTCTGTTCATAGAACACTATGTAGTTTATATGTGGTATCTCTTTCAGCCTCACAACAACCTTGCAACTCACTTCCTAGTTGGTGCTTCAGAAAAACAGGCTCAGTATGGGTAAGTAATATGGCCACCCATGTCTTACAAAAACCAGAAGCAATGTCAGCTTTGACACCAAGGTTGCCTGATTCAAGACCTATGTGGCTGGTGCTGCCCTCAAGTTTCCTGGCCAGTGACCCCACTATCAACCTGTTATGGTTGTCACAATGGCACTGAATGACCTCATAGACAAGCAAGGTTTAAAAAGAAAGCTTATGTGTGGAAAATTTTCCCCCTTAAAACCAAAATAGCAGTATCACATTGTCACAACAGCAAGAGGTTCCAGCACACAGCCCAGGTGTGCGTGTGTCCCTGAGGTTGTTCAACTGGGTCTGTTTTAGTTTGGAGAGAACACTGTGGTGTCCTGCCACTGGACCCTATTCCTGAAGTGATGCATCCTCTGAAAGGATAAGGCCTTATTAAACTAGTCCATGTGACAAATATAAACAGTAAAACTGAGAGCTAGAAAATTTAAGGCAGAGAGAAAACTTGGGAAAGCTGATAGAACCATTTTGTTGATCAAATTGGGAAACTGAGTCTAGATACTACCAAGTACTTTGCCTGAGTTGTCCCAATAAGTGCTTCTATATGTCTAACTCACTCATAAAATGTCATCATAGTGATAGCCTAACACTAATGCTTCTTCTCTGGCCAGGGTGGAGACAGGGTCATGTTGGAGGAGTCTACAGCAGTCTGGGATAGGGCGGGAGGACATGAGGAGGGGACTCCAGGGAATGGACATAGCTCCACCAGGATGGAAGAGCTGGACTTGTCTGATGGCATAAGACATTGCAGGTATCATTTGTGCAAAATGCATTTGATATCACCCATGCCAAGAAGGGCTGGAGGGGGTTTTGGTGGTAAGACCAGAAGGGCAGAACCAGCTCTGAGTGTAAATTGTGCACCAAAACATTGAAGTTACAGTTCAAGGCTATTTCCTTTCACCAAAGCTGGAAACTTAAAATCCTTCCCTGGTAAACTGATATCTCTGAGATTTCCATTCCCCTTCTCTCTTCTCCCTGAGATAATAATGCTCATTTAAGCTTTGGTCCACTTTTCTTTCCCACTCAGGTCTAATTCAGTCCCAAATACTTCCAGTTTCTCCCAGCCATCCTGGTTGCATGGGTAGGGGATGGGTGAGCAGAGGAATGGGCTTATTTATTCAATTCTTTAGCAGCTACTTAGTGCCAGATACCATGCTAGGTAATATCTACTACTTTATTTCTTGGCAGGCTCATACACAATTCCTGTTTTATCAAAACCAATGTGTGTCAGAATCACCAGGTTGCTGGGCTTTGTCCCTAGAGTTTCTGACTCAGGCCAGGATTTGCATTTCTAACCAGTTCTCACATGCCATTCCACTTGTGGTGGTCCAGGGACCACACTTTAAGACCCACTGTGCTAATAAATGTGCTAGCAACTTGGAAACAGTCCTGAGACAGGGAGTTCACCTTGGCTGAGAACTTCCCCTGTGCCAAATGGAAGGAGGATCTCAGGGAGGCTAGGCTTGAACCTTGGAAGTGACCACCCCTTGCTCTCCCTGGCTCATGCTCTCTCCTCACAGACACTAGGTGGGGCCAGTTTTTACTCCTCTAAGCAATGTGTGGATGACTGGAACTTGAGGAGCTCACAGAGCCTGGACTGGTTTTTGTAGTCAGGCCTCATTGGATGGAGTTCCTAATCCCCTGGAGGCAGCTGTATCACAGAAAGCTGGACAGATTGTGTCCCACCTCCATAAATGAGGGTTGACGTCAATGTCCGCTGGCAGAAAGAGCTTCAGCAATCCTTGAAATAAATGGATGAGGCCAGTCTGCCTCTCTTAATCATTAAATTATACTTCTCCCATAGCAGTTGCACACGATGACAGAGATTTTAGTTAAAAATCAAGACAACACAATAATGCCTAACTGGGCATCAAATAGGGACGCACCAGAGTCGGTCTGACCTCCACACTCCATGGAACACCCTGATGTGTTCAAGGACATATACAAAAATGAGCATGGAAGCCCACCCAGAAGGAGGGCTGTCTCAGTGGGCACACCAAATTGCAAGAAGGATGTGCTGACTCAAGCCAACAACAGACACCAGTCCTAGGGTCCTTTATAGAGGTGGTCAGACAAATCCAACAAATGACATTGCTCAAAAATACAGGCTATGTGATGGATGGGAGTACAGAGCTGAAACTGAAGGGCAGGCAGTATCAGCCCAGGTGAGCACAGTGGGGAGGAGAGCATGAGGCATCCATAACTGAGGGCAGAAGAGAGGACAGAACTGTCCCAGGGGTGACAGAAAAAGCAAATGAAAAATCCTACTTCACATTGATGAGAGCAATAAAGAGTGCTTCCAGAGAAACACCAGGCATCTGTGGACCTCTCTGGTGCCCTCTCTGGACACAGCATGCCACCAAATAAAATACGTGAGCACAGCCCTAGCCAGATGGGGTGAGAGGTTGCTACTGCTATACCTTCTGGAAGGCTAAAGTCCAGACACTGTGGTGTGATTCCTCAGAATGTGGGGAAAAATTAGCCCAGCTCAGCAGTTCAAGGCTATTTAATAAGGCCTTACCCTTTCAGAGGTACCAACCTTTAATACATCTGTGTGTATTAAATGACTAAAGACTAGAGAACTCCTGGTGAGCGGTGGTAACAGGTGCTCTCAGGTTCCACTAACAGGAGTGATTATTTAAAAAGTGGTCTGGAAAGCAACTTTGCAATGTTTACCAAGAACTTGGAGAACATTTATATGTACTTTGCTGTAGATATTCAACTTCTGATGGACTGTCTTAGGAAAGTAATATAAAATATAGACCATAATAATATGCCTTGCAACATTATCTTAATAGATAATACAATTTCCCTGTAGTTGGAGAACATTGAATACATTAGGATATATCCACTCAGTTGAGTATTGTTAAGTCACTAAAAATGATATATATGAAAATTTTTTCATGGCATGGGAACATACTTACACAGTCCTTTAGTGGTATCTTCTTCTGGTGACTGGATCTAGACCCCTCTGAGGAATCATCCCAATGAGACCCTCATTTCATGTTGCCAGTGATGTCACCCCCACCTAAGCCAGTCAAGGCACTGCATTCCCCTGACCCCAGTGATTGACTGGGGTTTGGGCAGATGGCCCAATGAGGAACAAGAGACACCATGAGAATAACAGACTTCCTGGAAAAAAAAGCCCCCCCCCCACGCTGGTTTCTGACCAACTGCAGCCTTCTCTCCAAGACATGGATGGAATGAGCATGAAGACCACACAGTGGAAAGCAGTTCTGAGAGTGGAGAAAATACCACTACAACTTTGCCATACTCTGGACCAGGCTGTGCTAAAGCCAAACCTTTGTTGAACTTGTCAGCTTTCATTCATTAGCCATACATGATTCATTTTCCTTAAGCCTGTTAGGATTCTTCTTCACAACCTGCAACAAAAGGAACCCTATTTGGTATGCTTAAATTTTTTTTTAACTGTGGCAAAATATACATAACATAAAATCCACCATTTTTAAGTGCACAGTTAAGTAGATTCACATTGCTATGTAACCATCACCACCATCTATTTCCAAAACTCTTTTTACACCTTGCAAAACCAAAACTCTGTGCCTATTAATCAATAACTCCCCATTCCTCCTTCCCCCAACCCCCTAGCAACCACTATTCTATGCATTTGATTATTCCAGGTACCTCATATAAGTAGAATTGTATAATATTTGTCCTTTTGTGACTGGCTTATTTCATTTTGTATGTTTTCAAAGTTCATCTATGTTGTGGCATATGTCAGAATTCCTTTTTTAATACTGAATTATACTGCATTGTGTGTGTGTGTATTCAATTTTTTTTATCCATTCATCCATCAGTGGATACTAGGGTTGTTTCTACCCTTTTGGTTATTGTAAATAATGCTGCTATGAATGTGTGCATACAAATACCTCTTCAAGATCCTGCTTTCAGTTCTTTTGGGGAGGTACACATAAATGGAATTAGTCATCTAATACACAGTTTGGGGGAGGAGAAGAGAGGCGAATGATATTTTATGGCTCAATTAAGGCAGCTTCTCCATGAGGCCCCAGCAATGGAAGGCTACTGGCAGGAGAGGGATTGGTCCTTTGCATAAAGGACCCCTGCCTTTTCTGGGAAACATAGAACAAGTCCCAATCCTTGTTCCCTAAGAGCCAGATTTAAGGGGCTCTGTCCAGACAGACCAAAGGCCATCTGTATAGAAAGGTGAGAGAAGGCAGAATGGGATCAGAGTGTGACCACAACTGGACTCTTCTCTCTGCCCAGGCACCTGCCACAAGGACCTGTCTTCTGGAGAATGGTAAGCTTGAGAGTGTGCCTAAGAAAGCTGTTGCACAAAGGGGGACATCACAGAATCCCAGGCAGAAGGCTGGACCAGCCAGGGAATCCCAGCAGCTTGTCACGAGCATATGCTCATGATGTAGTGTTTCCTATAAATCAGCCAGGCAACTGCTTGGCTAGCAGCCTGCTGAGCAGCCCGGCACCAAGGAATAGACAAGAGTCACACACAGTAACTATGCTATTTACTCAGCTTTTATTGAATGCAGGTTCACTCAAAGTAGAACATCAGCATACATTAATATCCTACTTACACTCTAAGAATCTAAGAGAAATATAACACACACACACACACACACACACACACACACACACACACACACACACCCCACACATGCACACACAGCAATCAATGGGGGATAATGAACCTGATTCCCAGAGTGTCAGTTCGCAGGTCTGAGAGATAGCATGGTGGGCAAGAGAGTTGTCAGTGTCTTGCAAGGAAGGATTTCCAGAGCCAGGTGGGCAGCAGGGCATACAAAGTCCTCAATCCAGCAGGGCAAAGCCTCCAGCGGCCAATGCCAGGGTGATCACTGTGGTATGGAGAAGCATCTTGGTGTGTGGAACTCAGCTGTCTCAGTAATGGTCTGGAACCTGCCTCAGCTATACCTTGAAAGTGGTGTACTCCACCCTTCTGGGTATCTTGATAAGTGTCTTGGCACCTTTGATGACAATTGGGGTATTTCCCCATCAGCCTATCTGTGGGTGGTCCCATTCTGCAGACACGGCTGTTCTGGTCATGTGTACAGATGTCTTAGGTGTGTCTCCTTGCCAGATATGTCTGTTCTGACTTAGGTAGTTTCCCTCTTGAGCCAAAGTGTCACGGCTGACTGGCAGCCATCTTGGTTGACATGAGTGATTCCATTTTGTTTTCTATACTTTATGTTGTCTTGACCAGACCAATGCCATTTTATTGGTCCTGCTCTCCACACAGCTATGCACAAATAGCTGTGAGATGTGTTCAACTCATCCCCAGTAGCAAAGCCAGATGTCATGGAGAAGCAACAGCAGGTAGGACCTACTCCCCTCTTCCATCATTTAAGAAGCTGGACTGATACCATCTCACCTCCATCTCGTTTGGACTAAATAAAGTCCACCTTTAAATTAAAGCCCACCTATAGTGCACTTGGACAATTCAGAAAATAGACACCCTTAAAGGGGAAAAACTAGACTTCCCTATAATAGGGATCGGAAAGCCTCACACAATTATTTAAAAACAATATGAGATGTAGACACATTGATACTCTGATTTTGTGGGGCAGATAATTCCAGGAATTCACACGTATCTTAGATTGCACACTGCTAGGGGCACCATTCACATCACAGTCTCTGACTGGTGACTCTGAGCTTTGTTCATGTGTAGTCTCCACGGCTCTGTGTGGTGACTCCACATGTAAACAAGTCCACCATCCCTTATCTGAAATGCTCAAACCTGAAACTATCAGACAACCTGAACTTTCTTTTAACTCTTTTCGTGGCTGAACTTGTCCTAAATGGATATGTGTGTTTGTATTTGTTTCACTGCAGAAATATTAATGTGTTTGATCGCAGGGCACTATCCCTGACCCATTGGAGATATTACAGTATATATTCCATACCAAATTCCTCAGATCTGAAGCTTTCTGAATCAGAAAACATTCCTCGCCACAAGGGCTTTAAATAGGAGACCTTGAGCTGTATGTATCTCAAAACATTAACTGTGGGCATCACGGGATGATGAGATTGTAGTTTATTTCCTTCTTTATAATGTTTTGCATTTTCCAAATTAACTGCACTATATACTGCTGTTGTAATCAGAGAAGAAAATCTGTCATGTTTTAAAGAAAACATCAGGTAGTAGTCCCTTGAGCTTCCTTGGGCACATTCGGGTTACCCCATGCATCTCTTGGCTCCTCCTCCAGTGTGACAGATATCTGGGCTGCCACCAGGGCCTGGAGCTTGGGAGCAGGGCCCTGCTTCCAGCTTCTCCCAGCCCATTCCACTTCCCTGGCTTTGCACTCCTCCATCAGTGGAAGAGTTGTGCCTTGAGCTGACTCAGTGCCCAGGATGCTTCCTGCCCCTTGTCCAACCAGCACTTCTATCCATCATCCCCTAACAGTATCCCTAAAGGATAGGGACGGTAAGTTCTGTCCAGGCCTGGCCACTCAAGGGCTCCTGGTTTCCCCCTGCCTCCACCAGGGGTGGGAGGAAAGTTGGGTGCACACTGGGATCTCTGAATGTAGGCTGTCGTGGCCCCTCCTACATCTCCCTGGACCTGCTCAGCTCACTGTCACCCACCCCAGGAATACCACCAGCACAGAAAACCTTCACGTTCAATTCTTCCTCAGAGTAGAACCCCAGAGTATTTTTTAACTATGTTCATTCTTTGTCTTGTTTAAACCCATATGTGATAAAATGAACAGAGCTTAAGTGTGGGCATGATGCTCTAAAACACAGACCCTGGGGCCTCACCGACACTGTTGGGCTGTGGCTTGTTAGCCTCCTTGGGCCAGGGTCACATCTGTTGGGCATGAGCCCACCTCAGAGCTCCACTCCTCTTGTCTTGTCACCCCAGAGTGGTTTTCCTGACTGAGGAATGTAGTCCGGACAGCCACCCCTCTGTCATGAGCAAAGATTTCCCCACAAGACCAATGACAGAGCTCTTCTGGGGCCCCTAGTGACAGTCTCAGTGTGTGTGTGGTGTCCCTAAAGAGCAGGCTGGGAGGCACAGGTGCTTCTCCTCAGCTCCTAGCACAGTCAGATGTGGGGAGGAGAAGTGACAGGCAGAAAGCAGCCACACGACCAGCCAGGATTTGCAGTGACTGCCATGACATTGAGCACTCACTCATCTAAACCCATACAACACTCTTCTGAACTGGAGGCTAAAAATAGTGAAGTAACTTGCTCTATGTCTAACCTGCAGGAATAAGTAAGGGAACAGGATTTGAACCCCCATCTCATCTGACTCCAAAGTCTTTATCACCTCACAGAATTATGTGTGCCACATTCACACATGATCTCTAGTATTCAAGAACTGGCTTGATAGATGAGAAACCCAGGCATGGAGTGCTTGAGCCACACATGAAGATTCTGATGCCACAGGGCCCTGGTATGGTCCACATACTACCACCCCCTCCAGCCTGAAATTTGCAGGGACTTTTAGGAGTTTCGTGTTGCTTCTATATTTGGAGGACTTTTTGGTCTTGTTTGTTTCCTGGATTCTTTGTTTCTATGGCCCAAAGATAAAGGAATATGTCACCCTATCTTGAGATTCTTTTGAACAGAGCTGGCAAGGAAATGGGAAAAGATCCTAATTAGGGGGCAATAACCCCACAGAGAAATTTGGGTTCTTTGCAGTGGCCATGTTCTTTCCACAAGCCCTGTGCATTTGTCAGATGTTTATAGAATCTTCATTAACGGAAAGCTCCCTTAGATAAGAAGCTGGAGTACAGCATCAAGGGCCAGATAAGAACAAGTGGAGGACACTCTGGGATGGTGGGTTGGGGCCTGGGAACTGGCCAGGGTGCTTGGTGCAGAGTGGTCAGAGGGACAATGCAGGCCTGCTCCTCCTGGAATCCTCCCCACGCCCGCTAACACAAGGTGGCCACTGGCTTTTTCCTGTGCAGGGGGAATGTGCTGTCCCACAATGTGCCATGGGGCCCTGTGGGTGGCCCTGCCTTTGTTGTCCCTGCTGGCCTGCTCTGGGCAGGGGAAGCCTCTGGAGAGCAGGGTCCGGATGTTGACCGGGGCCGATGCCCACCGTCTGCTAGGGGGCCCTGAAGGTGAGCAGGCTGGAGGCACCTTCGACCTGAGGATGTTTCTGGAGAACATGAAGGTGGATTTCCTGCGCAGCCTCAACCTGAGTGGGGTGCCTTCCCAGGACAAAACCCAAGCGGAGCCACCACAGTACATGATTGACCTGTACAACAGATACACCACTGATAAGTCTTCCACCCCTGCATCCAACATCGTGCGCAGCTTCAACGTGGAAGGTAGAGTCAGCTCCACCAGGGTACCTGAGGGTTGGGAGGTCTAGGGGGAGGGTGGGACTCTGTGGTCCGCAGCTGCACTGCCTGCTCTGGTAGCCACCGGCCGTATGAGGCTCTTCAAGTTTCAATTTAAGTTAATTACAACGAAATAAAATTAGACTTAGTTCTTCAGTTTTACTAGCTTCTATTCACCCAATAGTCATGTGTGGCTAATGGCTACTCGATAGGCCAGGGCAGATAATAGAGCATTTCCATCATTGCAGAAGGTTCTACCGGACGGCTATGCTCCAGAAGATTCTCCTTCCCCAGACCCAGTACCACAGTTACCTCAGCGGGAGCTGCGGGAATGCTAGCTCGGTTTCCTCCATCTCTTCCTTTTCTCCCCCTTTCCTTACTGTCCCCTTCCTACTTAGAGATGGACAGCTGATTTAGTCTCTAACCTGGTATATTTTTAAACTTTGAGAGAACTCTATCATGAAAAGGTGTAAAAAAATTCAGATAAATTCCTCTGACAGATAAACATTGGGGAATTACTTAATTATTTTCTAAATATAAAATAATTTATATTTTATATTTAGAAAATTTAAATTTTCTAAATTTATATTCCCTGATTTAGGAGAACTAGAAAATTGTAAACACTGACTTGGGGCTTATGTTCACTAGTTCACACAGTGTAAGTAAATTGATTTCATGAGCAGGGAAACAAGGCTTGCAGATGCTGAGGTAACTTGCCCAGGTACCTATTAGTTAATTAATTAAGCAGCTGGATTCTGCTCCAGGCCCACCTGCCTGCACAGTTAAGGCATTTCCTGCTGCTGCAGTCTTCCTCGAAACCACCAGCAGCATAGAGCTGGAGCCCCATGAACTCCTAACAGGCTGTGCTTGGTGCCACAGCAGGCCAGACCTGCAGTGTACGCCCCATCTAAAGGATGCTGTAGTTGCAATGCATGCCCAGTGGTGTCAGATTTTCTGATTGTCTGAAAGAAGAAGAAAAATCTAGATTTTATGTGAACTTGCCTGATATTTAAAACACTGATTTATTATTTTCTTAAAATACAATCTTCCAGCATCTCACCTCTGGCCCACGGGGCATGTCTGTAACCCCTGCTTTAGGGCTTCTTTGACTGGATCTAATTTTGAACCCCATAATCTGGGAGTCCAGCGTTTAGAGTCATCTCAATGACACCTCTCCCCGACCCTTCAGCATTATCCACGCCCTGGATCCCAGCTCTGCCTGTGGCTAGCACTCTTGTAGAGGCCAGGTGTGCTTCCTTTCACAGACTTCACAGGCAGTTTATATGTGGTTCCGGGAGGGAGGGTGTTTGCTTTCAAGATGTCTGACTGCAGTCCCACAGTCATTATCAAGGCAGGCCAGAGTAAGAGCACATTAGATGACTAATGCACTGCTCATAGACATCTCATTAGTCAGATATGCGAAGGCATTTCAGCACCTTCTGCAGGGACTGGAATAGCTGTGAGAGGACCACAGGGAACTGTGTGACAAGCTTCGGGGGCAGTTCATGCACTGGTGGGGAGGAGGGTCTGGAGAGGACACACAAATATTGACTAAGCATCTAGTATGAACCAGTGACAATGTTGGCTGAGTTACATGCACCATCTTATTGAAGCCTCATACCAACCCTGGGAAGCAGGGAAAATGAATCCCATTCTACAGATGAGGAAACTGAGGCACAGAGAGACTCAGGACTTCTCCAAAGTAATAAGCCTAGGAAGGGGCCAAGTCAGGATTGGCACTTTGGTCTTTCAGACACCAAATCCTGCTGGTTTTCATGACAGTGCACAGATTTCCTTCAGCTGGAACATAGTAAGCGCTCACAAAATGGAACTTCTCTTCCCTCTCTGTGACTGAACCATGGTATAATATGAGAGGGAACCCAGAAAAACCTGGAATTTTCTTCTGGCAGACGGGCTTTCCCCACAAGGTGAGTGTTCTAGGAACCCATTTGTATCAGTGTAACAGCTGGTGGTGCTGTGAAATGCTATGTTTGGCTTCAGTGAATTTTTTTGAAGACTCTTTCAATGAGTGCACCTGCCCACACTGAGCTGATTGTTAAGCAATTTTTGAACAAAAGTGGCATGACCCCCATTCCCCACCCTCCCTATTCACCCGATCTGACCCTGAGCAACTCTTTTTTTATTTCCCTGGATTAAATAAGTCCTCAAAGGGAAATGTTTTGCTGTTGTGGAAGAGGTAAAACAAAAAAAGGCAGAAGCACTAAAAGACATCAAAATTGACGAGTTCAAAAACTGTTTTGAGCAGTAGGAAAGAAGTCTCTATAGATGTTGGAGAATACTTTGAAGGTGACTGAAGTTTGAACATATAAGAATAAATATACAATTTTTTCATATATAAAAAAAGTTTTTTGGGTCCCTCCTCATACAGACATGCTAATGGCCATGCATCCGCCAGGAGACGTGGGAAGTCGAGAACTGTATAGCTAAAAGGCAAGTCCCATTTTTGCCTGACATGAAAAAATAGTTGAGGCTAATATTTTTTCTTTAAACATTAAAAAGAATCATTCACTTTCCTTTTGCTCCAAAGTTACAATTACCAATGATTTTTACACCATTTAAATGCTGAGATTTTAAATATTTTCTTAATGCTAGAATTTCACCTTCCCTCCCAGGATCCCTCCTTTAAAATCACACACTGAAGATCAGCTCTCAGAAGATGACAGTTTTATTGCTGTTTTATTTGGTTCTTTTTTTTCTTTACGTGAGCAAATTCACAGAATATGTGTACTTTGGAATGTTTTTTAGAAAGATTTTATTTATTTATTTTTAAAGAGAGGGAGGGAGAAAGAGAAGGAGAGAAAGATCAATGTGCAAGAGAAACATCAATCAATTGCCTCTCGCATGCTCCCTACCGGGCACCTGACCTGCAACCAAGGCATGTGCTCCGACTGGGAATCAAACCGGTGACCTTTTGGTTTGCAGGATGACTCCCAACCCACTGAGGCATACCATCATGGCAGCACTTTGGAAGTTAAGCACCCTAAACCCAGTCCTTACATCTCTAAAAGTGAAATAATAATTAGATCCTTCCAGGGTCAGTGTGAAGAGTCAAGTGAAATATAGTATGCAAAGTCCCAGGGGCAATGCTGGGCATGTAGTAGATGCTCAATAAACACCTGGACCTGTTCACTCCAATGCAAGGCACCTCCTGCCTCTGCTTTTCTTTGGAATACTCTAAATGTACCTTTCAAAAAACTTCTAAATCAAGGGCTTAAGTGAAACCAAATAGAGATTTGACAATGTCATCCCAGATGCCCTCTCATCCTCTCATGATATCATGACTTTGATATCAAAGTCATGAGTCTAAGCTTTGCTATCATGAAATAAGACATTCCCAGCAGATTCCCATCATTGTGTATTTGCATTTCAGATGCTGTCTCTGTGTTTGCCACCGAAGACTTCCCCTTCCAAAAACACATCTTGCTATTTAACATCTCCATTCCCAGGCATGAGCAAATCACCAGAGCAGAGCTTCGACTCTACATATCCTGCCAAGGTCATGAGGACTCTTCTCATGAGCTGAAAGGAAGCATGGCCATTTATGATGTTCTGGATGGAGCAGACATGTGGGATGCTTCTGCAGGAACCAAGACCTTCCTAGTGTCCCAGGACATTTGGGATGAGGGCTGGGAGACTTTTGAGGTCTCCAGTGCTGTAAAGCGGTGGGTCAGGGCAGACTCCACCAAGAGCAAAAATAAACTGGAAGTGACTGTGGAGAATCACAGAAAAGGCTGTGACAAGCTGGACATCAGTGTTCCCCCAGGCTCCAAAAACCTGCCCTTCTTTGTTGTCTTCTCCAATGACCGCAGCAATGGGACCAGGGAGACCAGGCTGGAACTCAGGGAGATGATCAGCCATGAGCAGGAAAGTGTGCTGAAGAAGTCCAACAATGGCCTGGCAGAGGCAGGTGAGAACAAGGATGAAAAGGAGGTTGTGGAAAGCCACATAGCCTCAGGGTCATCATTAACCAGACAGAAGAGGAGTGCTGGGACCAACAACCACTGTCAGAAGACATCCCTGCGGGTGAACTTTGAGGACATTGGCTGGGGCACCTGGATCATTGCGCCCAAGGAGTATGATGCCTATGAGTGCAAAGGTGGCTGCTTCTTCCCCTTGGCTGATGATGTGACCCCAACGAAACACGCCATTGTGCAGACCCTGGTGCATCTCAAGTTCCCCATGAAGGTGGGCAAAGCCTGCTGTGTGCCCACGAAACTCAGCCCTATCTCCATCCTCTATAAGGATGACATGGGGGTTCCCACCCTCAAATACCACTATGAAGGGATGAGCGTGGCAGAGTGTGGATGCAGGTAGTGCCACCTGTGGGTGGGGAAGATCAGGTTCGGGGAGTTGTAATGACATGTCCTGCTTACCCCTGGGCATGGCAGGGACTAAGTTTATCTGCATGCCAACCTGGAAAAGAAAAAAGAACTGTCACTTCTTTGAGGTAAAGGCCTATTCTCCCTTTCATGGCCCACCCCAAGCACATCGCTGGGATTAACTGCAGGGGAAAATGATGGCAAGAGGAGGTAAGGATCTAGAGCAGAGGGAAGCCTGGAAAGGTTGTTGGGGTTGAAAGGGAGATGATGGAAGTGGGACAAGAGGAAAAATAATCCAGAATCAGCAGAACACAGATCAGATGTGAGCCAGAGGAGAATAGACAGATAGGTGATATGAAGACATTTATAAAAATTAGAGTTAAGGGGGTTGGGGCTTATTCCAATAACCTCAGGGAGTGTGGGGAAAAGAAGTGGGCTATGTGCTCTATACCAATCATTTGACATATTCCTGCAACCCAGTGAGATGGCCATTATTATCCCCAATTTATATATGCCAAACCCAAAACTCAGGTCAAGTAGCACCTGTCAATCGCCTTATTCCATCTCACATGTTTCCATACGTCTGCCTGTCTCCAACAGTGCCTCATTGCAGATTAGCAGGTCACCTTGTAACTAAAAATCAATTAGATGTTGGGAGGTGAGGAGTGTAGGACACTGGGCTGAGATGGGCCAGTACCACCAATATGACTGGGCTGCCTATTACAACAAGGGCCTATTCCACCTGCTCAGTGCCTGTGCTGTTTCAGTGGCCAAGTACTTTCTAAGATCACTGTTGAGCCACTGGAAAACTACCCCCTAAACCAACTGCAGGAGGGAGAGAGTGCAGAACAGCAGTCCCTGGGCCACAGCATGCACTGTGCCAGAGTGACTTTGACCCTCTGGCACAGTGCTTATATGGTCAACAGTTCAGATAGAGCCACTGGCTGCCTGTGGACTCAAACTATGTGATGGTTTGAGAGGGACAGACACAGTTTACCCTGAGGGCTGGAGTGGCCTTTGACCGGCATCTCTGCAGTTATTTACTCAGCATAACCAGCCTACCAGTGTGATACACTGTTGGCTTCCATCCACAGGTACTCCACAGAAGACAGGGATCTGAGGAGAACTGAGGTCCCATTGGCTGTAGCCAGCTCTGCCTGAACTTCTGGCTTTCTTGAGTGGTGTACATCTAGGCCCTGTCCTGGGCTTGGGTCCTGGTCAGCCCTCACTGACCCCGAGAGAGGATAACATTTCTATTTCCTCTGTATTTCATTATTTCCTCTCACTCTCAACACACACATGGAATGGGATGGAGTGAGGAAAAGTCTCGAAGTGGTGAATATCCCACTGCATGGCCCTCTGACCACTGGCCAGAGCAGAGCCTATAGGAGGCCTAGAGAGACCTGAGTTATTTCCACCAGTGGAAGCTTCCAGAATATTTAAAAAAAAATTTTGTGCTAAATGTTTACATAGAACCAATGAACACCTTTAACATAAAAATGCAATAAAACATCATTGTTGAATTACTGGAGTTATAGGAAATACTAATCTGGTACGACAATGTTGCTCAATTATAAAGCTGGGTGATGGATATCTTTACATTCTGATGGTATATTTCTATGGCTGCATCAAAGTTTTACTTGGTAATAAAATCAAATGTCTAACCTGTGGCCTTTTGTGCATGTGAGACCTGGGTCTGATGGTCCCTCAGCCCCATACCTGCCCACCTCTTCCTGTAGGTCCTTCTTTCTATGGGTGGGTGAGGGGGAGGGAATGGAGATGAGCTACCATGGGGCAGTAGACATGTTGGAGGTGAGTGAACGTGTCCATATAAGGCCATGTGTGTGGGTGTGCAGGTGTGCATATGAGCGTGAGCATATATATTTGCAAGTGAACAAGGAGAGTTAGCCACTGTGCCATACCTGGCTTCCCCACATGTAAGGGGAGAGGCCCTGGCTCTTGGTGAGAGACACACATCTGGCCTTGTCCTGGGGCCCACACAATTCCACCATCTGTCCTCACTATGACCCTGCTCAGCTGCCCGGCTCCAGCTAAACACCCTCAAGGATATTCCCTGTTCTCAGCCTTCCGGTGACTGCCCGAGCCACCCTACTCCCAGCTTTACAGGCCAACTCCACTTTCTGGGACCTAACTGTAGCATCATCCTCTCTGTCCTTTTCCTGATACTCTCGTTCTAATCTTTCTGGCTCTCAGGAGCACTACAGTGCTTCTCTCTCACAGTTGTCATTGGCCTGTGACAGGAACCTGATAGCCTCTTGTCTTGAGTCTTTTATGGCAGCAAGTCCCCTGGGCACAAGGCCCAAGAGGTTCTGGTCTCTGCTACTCCTGGAGGGCTGAAACAGCCTGTGGCAATGTGCTCTGGCTCTTATTTCACTGCTCTGTTCTTCCATCCATTTCCCCTACTCTGGTTCACCCCAACCAGAGATCAGAGGCAACAGCACCACCCTCTGGACACTGTTCTGCAGCCATTTAGCCCTCTGCCTAATGACCACCATTTTCACTGCTGCATTTGTAGTTTTTCCTAAAGTGTGTTAATTTTTGTCATATCAGGGCAGAAGCATTATCATTATCATGCGTGTAAAGCTGAAGTGCAGCAAAGTATCTAGATGGCAAAATTTATGACTGTCCCATGCCTCTGGTGTGACCTACTCTCTGGGCCAAGGGCAAGGGGAGAGACGGGCTCAGGGATGGAGAGCAGAAGCCACAGGCAGACACAGAAAGATGGTGAGATGGGAGTAGAGTGGAGAGACTGTGAGGACAGACAGAGAGGAAGGCCAGGGGCACCCTGAGCACCAGGCTGGGTTTGGAACTTACAGTGAGTGGCTCAAACAACAACCACATGATAATAGACATTTCTAACTTAACTCTTACAAATGAGGAGGAGATGGAGGCATATGAAGGCCTCACATTTTGCTCAGTGCCGCTAGCCAGGGCCTTGCTGGAGCCCAGTTGTACACTCTCTCTGCTGCACTGGCCTCTGTCCTGAAATCTTCAAGGTCAAGGCCACAGCCACAGTAGCAGGAAGAATCAGAGCTATAGCATGAACCAGATGAACCAGATGGGGCTTATGCTCTCCTGGGCAGGTGCTGCAGTGCTGCATCTCCTAGGCTCTGTCTCTCCTGTCCTGCTTGTATAGGGTCCTCAGCTTAGCCAGCCACCCATATGGCACTGTTTACTGGATAAGGAGGAGAAGAACACTCCCTCTCCCCTTCAGTTAATAATCTGTTAACACAGTCACTAAGTACTGTGGCTTGTATCTCTTTCAGAGTTCTGCCAAAATGAAAGAAATTCCCGGGTCAATGTTTGCTGCAGCCTGCAGTTCTCTAAGCTCAATTTAGGAGTAGCCATGTGAGCTGGGCTCATAAGGTGGGAGTGGGAGGTCACATCTCTCTGAAACCCTTTTTTCCCCCATATACTAGTGTTTTGTTCCATATCCAGCTCATCTGACCATCTCCCTCTGTCCTGGACAGCAGTTTCTTTCCAGAATGTCCCTTAGAATTCTGCTATGCCTGCCAATAGGGCCTCTACATTTGGGCCTGTCTCAGAGGCTCTAGACAGCTCCTATACCATCACTTCAGGTAGTCCTTACAGCAGGAGGAGGAGGAAGCAGAGGGTTGGTGTGGTAGGCATGCTGGCACAAGGCACGTACTGGGGAGGCCAGGGCAATCCCATCTCTGTGGGTGCTCCCTCTGTCCAGACAGCACCTATGGTAGACCCAGGCCTTTAGCTTTGATGGCACTAAGTGACATGAGGTGAGCCAGCAGGGCTGGGCTGGCCTCTTACCCACAAGGGGCCTGTGCTCTGAGGGCTCTATAATGCACACAGCTGTAGATATGTGACCTGGGCAGCTGCACAGGGCTACTTGGTTTCATGTTCTACTGTCACCAACCTGAAATTTATAACAGTTTTGAAAAAGGGTCCTGCATTTTTATTCTGTACTGGGCCCCACAAATGCTGTAGCTGATCCTGAATGCATGTATGTGGTCAGCATCTTGGTTTTCCAAGTCCCAGGGACAATCTGGAGGCCACATCCAACCTCAACATTGACTTGATCCTGGTTAGACTGTGAGTCTGAGCTTTGCTGCTAAGAGCTTGCCCCAGGGTTTGAGCAAGAGGACCACCATGCCTCTCCCCTGTGCATGTTGAGGAGGCCCAGAGGCTTCTTGATTTGTAACCAAAGGTAACAACCCTGTTCATCTCTCAGAGTCTGGCCTATTACATTCATATGGCAGCTCCTTGGTGGGGCGGGGGAGGTGGCTTGAGGGGGTGGAGGCCCGGGTTCCTGGGAAAGTTGGAAACAGCCTGATGTGAGGGTGTCTTGCTTTTTCCAGATTCACCTTGAGGAGGAGCCTGGAGACTATAGGAAGGCAGGCAGTATTACACACAGGGGGACTCACATTCAATCAGGCTGAATAAATTTTTCAGAACTTCTTTCCTGTTCAAATCAAAGCATCCGCCCCAAGCAGAAATCTCACACTGTTGTCCTCAGTTTACCTGAACACTTCTCACAGAGGTGAACACTCTTCACAGAGGAAGGCTAATTTATTAGAGACTGACTGCTCATCAGGAAGATGTCCTTGAGTTGGGGCCAAAGTTTGCTTTTCTGCATCTCCCTCCTGTGAGGTTTCTTCTGACTGAGTGTTCCCTTCCTCCCGGTGAGCCCTGATATACAGGCTGTCTCCATGGGAGCCACAGGGCCTCTGCTGAGGCAGAAATGGCCAGCATGGGCCCATGGGGGTCCAGGGGCCTTCCTCAGACTGGATCCATGTGAACAAAATAAGGGCAACAAAATATTTTTCACAGAAGCCAAATGCAATTTGTGAGGTTTTCTAATATCTCCCCCTTTTTACAAAAAGAATGGCAAGCATAGGTAACAGGCCTTTACAAATAATGTCTATCTTTGGAAAAATAAAATACTGACAACTCTCACTGATTTTCAAAATGATTTTTGATCAATTATCAGTTTATGAAATCCAATGTCCCTGGATCTTCCTAGGTTTGGTCCCCAACCAAACACCTTGGAGTCCTATAGCCAGGTGTGCCTTTCAATGCTAACATTCATGTAAAAGGAACCAGCTCGACTTCTACCCAGGACTTTTCAACCTCTCAGCCAAGCTGCAGCCCTAGTCTCCAGGGTCCAGCCATGTCTTCCTGGTCCTCCTCTTCCCTGCTGTGAGAACCCTTGCCTTTGTACTCCTGCTCCCAGCACCTGCCCACCATAGACACACATATGATGCCCACTTGCTCATTCTTCTGACTTCAACTGTGGCCCTCACTCTCAAATATGATTTGGGACATATTCTATGTGTCCTCACATGGCTAGGCTTGCCCTGCCTCCTACTCAGCCCATGGGACCCATATCAGCCACCCACCTGCCCACCTGACTCCCTGCTGGGGAGAGAAACAGACAGGGCCTACTGTGTCCAAAACTCCAGGAAAGCACACATATCAACCAAATGCAGCAGGCAGGGCCAGCGCCCACAATGACAAGGACAAAAGCTCAAATGGGCAGAAATATAAGCCCAGAGGCATTGAGGTGTCACCACCAGAAGGGACTTGGGGAATGGTTCGTGAGTCCCCAGTCTGTGGTCTCTGAAGCTCAGGATTCAGGCACTTTGTAAGGCCTCAGTGAAGGTGACCGTTAGGAACATTAATCAAAAGAATGCAGGTAAGAAATGGAAGTTTCTTTACAGAGCCTCACAATGATCATACTTTTTGATATAGGAATCCTGACTTTGAGTCACCGTCTTATTTTTTTTTTAATTTATTTTTTATTTATTTTTTATTGAAGTATAGATGGTATACAGTCTTATATTGGATATATTAGTTTCAGGTGTACAATATAGTGATTTAACATTTTCATACCTTACAATGTGATCACCCCACTAGTTCCAGTAATTATATGTCACCATGTAAACTTATCACAATATTATTGATTATATTCCCCTTCCACTTTCACCTATCCCCCCACCCCTTCCCTTCTGGTAACCACACCTTTGGTTTGTTTCTATTAATCTCTTTTGGTTTTGTTTCTTTGTTTTCTTTTGTTTTTAGATGTCACATGTAAGTGAAATGATAGAGCATTTGCCTTTCTCTGTCTGACATATTTCACTTAGCATAATATCCTCTACATCCATCCATATTACCTCAAATGGAAAGATTTCATTCTTTTTATTTCTGTGAAGTGTTTCATTTTGTATATGTATATCATATCTTATTTTTTAATTAATTATGTATTTTTAGAGAGACGGAAGGAGAAAGAGAGGGAGAGAAATATTGATGTGTGAGAGAAACATCTACTGTTTGCCTCTTGCATGCCCCCAACCTGGGATCTGGCCCACAACCCAGGCATGTGCCATGACTGGAAATCAAACCAGAGGTCTTTCAGTTTATGGGACAACATCCAACCCATACCAGCCAGGGTTATATCATATCTTCTTTGTCCATTCCTCTATTGATGAATACCTAGGTTGCTTCCATATATTGGCTATTATAAATAATGCTACAATGTGCATAGGGGTGTATGTATCTTTTAAAATTAGTTTTCCCATTTTCTTTAGGTAAGTACTCAGAAGTAGAATTGCTGGATCATGCCATAGATCTACTTTTATTTTTTTGTGGAATGCCCATACTGTTTCCATAGTGGCAGCACCATTTTGCAAACATAACAGTACACAAGGGTTCCCTTTTCTCCACATTCTTGCCAATATATTTTTTAAAGATTTTATGTATGTATTTATTTATTTATTTAATTTTAGAGAGAGGGGAAGGGAGGAAAAGAGGGAAAGAAA